ATTGGGAGAAATTTGCTTTCGTGGAAGACTTTTTGATGGAACTAACCCGCATTTGCGCTACATGGAAATGAAATCCACGAAAACCTCCTACGGTTAGCCTGACAGCAAGGGGACTCCGACCCATGATCTAACATCCACTGAGGATATTTTTCGTGATCTCTGTGGTCGGTGCGAGCCGGATGTAGAATTCGTATCAGCCAGTCATCGCTGGAATTCATACCCTTGCACTTCACTGGGAAGCGAGCTCTCTATCCCCTGAGCCACCACGTCTCTATCTCGATACGTTAAGAATTTTGTCCCGCTTCATTAAGTGTACTCAGGAACCGATCAAATATTACGTAAGCATGCTTAGCACTTTTGGATTACTTCGCCCTCCCCTTTTCAGCAAAAATAATCTACTTACAAACCCCTTCCTATGCTCGCCTTAGACAAACCCCCTAACTTTCTCCTTTCAATTTAACTTTTGTAACCAAATATTAAGAATTTTAAAGAAAAATTCAAATGAAAGATTTAAACTTGAGAGAAGCAAAATCTATGTTTTATTTTTTTAAAGTTCGAAGCTCTTTAAAGAAATTTTTTAGTGTTTTTCTTATGCCCCAAATTTAATTTATTTGTTTCAAATGTTAAAATTTTCAAAGTGTTGATCTTTTTTTCAAACCTTTTAGTACTTTTTTTTTTTTTTTTTTGCATTTTAAAAGAATTGAGAAAAATGAGGGCATAAGCATTGCTCATAGCCAGTGGTCGGGAGTAGTGAAAGAGTCGCTACTTTATTTTTCGTAGTTTGAAATGTAGGGAGCTACTCTTTTAAAGAAAGTAAGTATTGCGATACAAAAAACAGTAGTTTGTAACGATTCCTGGTAACTACTTTTAACGATAGTTCAGTGAAGAAACACTGCTTCTAATACAACTCATTTCTCGAATCAGATGGGTACATATGTTCTCGTCAATGGATGCAATGAAAATGACCCTGTGGCTGCATTAACAAGAATGACGTATTTAAAATCACGTTTAACTAACATTTAAACTAGTCATTACGAAAAATAGATAACGAATCACTTTAATCACACTTTCGCATGTGAATGACACTCGTAAAACATTGTTATGTTAAAGGAGGGGAACGCATTTTCGATGTTCTTAATTTTTTAGAGGAAATAAAAGAACATTAAACAATTGAAAGATTTCAATTATTTAATAATTTCACGTTTCTTATATTAAATATTCACTGTCTAGAAAGGCAGAAAAATTTGAAGATCAAATTAAAAATTTGAAATAAAAATTGTTTTGGAATAACAAACTGGCTGATGTCACCATGAATAAATATTTCTTAATTATTCCCTTTAATTCAATGTTAGCCAATGTCTTATTCAAAACCATTGGATATAATATATGGATTAATGTAAATGTGGTTAACAAAGTATCTATTTTTGGCCCTACCTTCGATAATATCTAATGGGAAAGGGTTCAGTGTCAACCTCATCGAATAAAGGTCTTTTCGTGCGTGAAAAATATTTCTTTCTTTCTTTTTCTTGGTAGATTTCAGCTTTAAAACTATTTATTTAATGAAATGTTTATAATTTAATTATATTTCATCGTTCATAAAGCAAAGGCGTACAACCCACAACTTGTTTGTGAACAAAATCGCGTAACAATGTTAAAAAAAGTTCTCTTCTATAACTTTCCATACATTTTGCTTTCATAAAGAAAGACTCTGCCAGTGTTTTAGATTCTATTTTATGTATTTATTAGACTTTTTTATTATAAAACGTTGTAAAATGAAAGGTCTAATAATTCTTTTTCAAATAAACTCTTTGTGTATTCTTTTATGTCTTCATTTTTTTCTAAAAAGTTTAACCACAAGAGTTTAGTTAGTCATTATGTATAAAGTGTTTATAAATTTTAAAAAGTGCATAACTATCAAATAAAAGTACTATTAACACATTAACTTACTATTCGTGCGAAATGGCGCGATTTTTCAAGCAAAAATTTATTTCGGGCTTTTGAATAGTGTAGAATTTTTGTGAAAAATCTACTCGTAATTTTGTGAACATGTGAGGATAAGTTTCTAAATTTAAAAAAAATCGTAGAAATCAGTGGTCTATTTAGACTTTTTGTGTATATATATATATATTGCGATATTGTGAAAAATATACTCGTAATGTTGCTAATATATGAAAATTAGGCCCCTCCTTCATGATAAAAAAAGCATTCTTTTCAAGTAGTTCTAGTTTTATGTTTCTCAAGAGAAAAAATATATCTTGTTTATTTTTGCTATAAAGTATTTTGTTAATGAAGGATCCAATTTTACGATAAAATATTTTGTGAAAGATCCGTTTTAAGAAAAAACTATTAAAAAGACCAAAACTTTCTCCTAAGATAACTCTTGATATTCTATATTTTTTTTTTATTTGGATGCGTTTTTTTTTCCTTTCCTGATGAATTCTATAATTTTTCTTTAAAATACAAAAAGAATCTGGAGAATTATTTTCATTCAAAAGTGTCACACTTTTCTTAAATATCGACTTGTGTTCTAATAGGTTCATACTTAGGGTTATGAAGACAAAATATAATTAGAATCCTAAGACTTGTGAAATGACAAACAAAAAATTACATTCTCTTTTTTTTTTTAAACTGCCATCTATGTTATTACGACAGATCAATGAAATAAAAATTTTAAAAACTACTTTTTTCAAGTATGCTAAAAATAATTAAACATATCTATAACCAAAGGATAGGTTCTTTGTTTTCATCGTGACAAAAATAAAATCATTTTTCCTTTTCACTTTGCTTGAAAAAGATTTTTCTTTTCAGTTTTATGTTTCTAAGTGCTCGATATATCAATTGATTCAAAATTCTGTCTGTAGTATCCAATAAGTGATTGAAAACTAGTTTGAAAATGAAAGAAAAAAGTAAAATTATTAAAATTTTTTTTTATTTAATATATANAAATCAATATATATATATATAAGTTAACAAAACATAGTATAATTTATTAAATTCTACCCTTTTCCTTATCATTGCTCTTATCTTTCTTATTAAAATGGCATTCATTCAATTGACAGTTAAAATATTTATTCACCCTGATAAAAGGGATTATTTATCGCGGCCCTAAAAAACTTTCTTTAAAAAGAAAAAGAAAATCCAGTTCCGGTCCGTCACAAAGTTAGGTAAACAAGACTTTAATAAAAGACAAAATAGAAAAAAAATAAATAAGATGGAATTTGAATGACTTCCGTCCACTGCACAGGTGAACGGACCTCTGGATTGCGGCGATTGTCCTTCCATTGTTTCTGCAGACGACCTTGAGACCCATCTCATCTGCGTCGCTAACTGATGTGGAATTTTATTTCCGATGAAGCCTTGCTCCAATGGGATGGACCTGTCGTTGTGATAGAAGACTTCAAAAGAAACAGCACACAAAAAGAGAGTCGTAATAAGGAAGCGGACGTACCATCGCAGAAAAAGGTTTTGTGAGAGTTGTTCTAAAAGACATTCCATCGATTCAATGATGCGCGATCAAGAGTGGAAGAAGAGAAATTCAACTTCATTAGCAGCGAAAACTTGTCCAATTACATATCAATCGTTTTTTTTTTTCTTCCCTTTTTAATTGTTTGTGCACAAACGCCATTTTTCTCAATGACTCTCGTTCTACAAAAGGCTTATTCTTGTGGGTGAGATGGATGGGATGAAATCCTCCTTCTTATTTAATTGCGTCAGTAACTATAAGTGTTCAGAAGGCCAAAGTATTCCAAGCATTCAATAGTTGTTTCTTTATCAGTGATTTCAGTTATCGATAAAAAGGATTAATCATGCATTTGTACGATTGATGTTATCTTTTCTGCTGAACTTCAATCAGAGATTAATTCCTTTAATGGTCAACTAAAGCTGCTCCACAATTAATTTCCACTGATTTCTGATGAATGTAATTAGCTGTTTCAATAATAAAATCTTTCGTACAGCAATTCTAAAATGTCTTTGTTGTTATAAGTTAGTATCTATCATCCAGGTTTTAAAGTCGGCTTAGTTTGACAGCGAGAATGAGTTCAGAAATGAGGGTTGCAATTTACATTGAAAAGATTTAAAAAAAAAAAACCTTTTACCATTTTTCAAGAAAAGTGGCTTATATGTTACCGTGAATAACCGAAATCAAGAGAATGTTGACTTTCACCGGTGAATGTCAACAATCACATAGTCGCTTTGGTGAATGTCCGAAATAGTTTTCATATCTGATTTGATATTAATTTATTCGTTGATATTATTATATTTATTCGATATTATAATATCTGCTGAAGATAGATTAGGAGAAACATCAGTGTTCGGAGTACTGGTTAAACGCATACTGGGCACTTGACTTTAGAAAAAACATTGATGTAGGGCATACGGGGAAGTTGCACTTGACTAGACATAGTATATATTTCGGACATTTAGCAAACGTGATTCTCAACATTCACTGGTGGAAGTCTACAACCACCTATTTCTGTCATTCACAGTAACATATACATGACTACGAATACGAATTTTAATTTTTAGTATTTTATTTTTTACATTTATATTTAAATGAAGAATATCGTACACACACGATTTTTCAAAAGAAAAAGAGAGAGAGAGAGATAAAGCTGACATAAAAAAAAAATATTTTTCTTAACTAAAAACTATCTACCCTTATTCATTTTATTCCTTGTTAAAAATCGAACAACCTTTTTAGGAAATTTTAGTACGTTCGCTATATTTGTAAATGTTTAATAAAGAAAAAGTAATCTAGAACTTTTATAGAAGTATTTTATTGTTATCGTTATTGTCATGCATGCTAAGCATCTTGTGTTAGTTTTCTCACAAATAAATACTCATTTAATAAAAATACTTGATTTCGTTATATTGCAAACCGAAACAAACTCTAACCGAATCAGAAAGCTCTCTTTAATACTATAAATACACCAAACATCAAGTTTATAAGAAGATCTGAATTTTCTTTTTCTTAATATTGAATTTTGTTGTCTTTTCAGTGGGTGAAGAGACTCATGTGGACATCAATGAATCCCCCACTTCGGAGAGAATCCAGCTGAGCCCCGGGTCACTCGATGCCCCGACAGCCGGCTCAACAAAATTATCTCTCTCACACCAACATGCTCTCTTTACTGATGATAGTAAGTCTTCTTTTTAGCCACTTTGTTTCTTCTTTTTGGTCAGATAAAACTGTTAAAGACTTCGTTATAATTGATTTTTATTTGATGTTTTTGACTTTGTCTAGTTTTACATGTGAAGGGCTTGAGACAATATAGTGATCAGCCACACTTCTTTCCCTTCATTTTTACAGCAAACTGATCCTTAGCATTGTTTCCAAGCACTTAGTTTACAAGTTTCTGAAATTTCTCTTTATTAACGCCTCTAAAAATCATATTGTCTAAGTGAATAATTATTTTTTTCCAAATCTTTCTTGGACAGTTTGAAGATGTGGCTTAATTATGACATCAACCATTCTTATTTTGATATAAAATAAATTTAGAAAAATATCAGTTGTAAAAAATTAACCACTGATAATACAATTTATTTTTTGAATGTAAGTTATTATTATGATTTTTCCTTGAAAAATTGAAAAGTTATAATCAATTATGTTGTTTCTGATGCCACTTGCCAATATCAGCAAGTTTGCTTGATGAAACCAAACGCTATTTAAATCAGAGGGTGCGTTTCTTGTCTTTCATTGGCGCCATCTATGACTAAGAAAACGACTTCATCCACACACACCTCACAACCCGTTTATAGGGGGAATCATCCATATATTCATTCATTCATCCACAGATCGTGATTTTTTTACGTGAATCAGAGAACGATCACTCTCCAATTCAGTACCACCAGAGGTATAATTTGTTATGGGAACATGGAGGACTTTGCAACCCGACAGATTTAACGTGCACCAATCACCATTTGCTACACGGGGGCGCCTTCGGTCGGCGGGGATCGAACCCACGACCTCTCGGAAATGGGTCTGACGCCCTACCAATCAGGCGGCCATATAAGATAACTGGTATATCAAATTCTTATTAATAATCAATTATTTTAATCAGTGTTTGATATATCAGTTATTTTATCAGGTTTATATCGTTTGGATTGTAAAATAACGCGTGGTTAATATAGTGAATAGGAAAATTTCAAACATTTATAACTTACTCAACTAATTTAGAATATATTTTTTCCATTATTTGAGAATGGCACATATGAAATGAACAGATTAAAACAAAATTTCAATCACGTTTTATATAGTTTGATTTTACTTTTCAGCTTTAGTTTATAGTTTGTTGTTTACTTTTTCAGCTGTACAACCAGATCATACCCCTCAAGAAATGTTGAGACACCGAGAGCAACGCTTTCTCGCCGATGAACAGCGAGTCATACTTACATCTGCTTATCAAGAGGCATTCAGGAATTCTACGGAGGACCTAGACTTTAAGCATCATTCGCCAGGCTGTGATGACTCCGGCGTGTTTTTAGAAGACTCAGTCGCTTCATCTCCCGAAACTCATTCTAAATCATCCTCTGCACGCTTACAAAACAACCTCCAGAAGTTTTCGGATCTGCCCGCTACTATGAAGCAGTACTCAGTACCCGAAGGAATTGACTCGGATGCAGAAAGGAGTGATGATTTAGGTCTTGCATCTTCTTCCATCGATTCAGCAGATGATTTGGATGGAGATCCCTTGCCATCCATGCTAAATATAGGTCCACCAGCTGTGCCTACCCGGCAAAAACCACCCCCTATTCCCGCGAGAAAATCACTTTCAAAAGTCAGCGATAGTCAAAAGAATAATAGATTTTATCGAAATGAAGTCATAACTCTTGAAGTTCCTAATCCAAATAAAACTCCTTTGTGTAAGAGTTCGAGTTCCGGAGAGGATTCGAACTTCGGCGAAGGGGATGTTTTTCCAAACGAGGACTACTTACCTAGTGTCACTATGAGAGAAAATGCCAAAAACTTTCTGAATAATCAAAAGAATCAGCAGTCTCGGAATAACTTTGCCATGACAAGATCCTTCCATGAAGATGCACTGATGAATCTCCAACGTGATACTAACCATGATTCAAAATCAGATTTCTTGGCTCGCACTCTTAGTTCTCCAAAGAAACTGGATACCAGAAACGGTGACAGTGGATTCAAATGGAAAAGTGAAGAGTGCCTTAGAACCGCTGCTGAAAGCAAATGGTGCTTGCCTGGAAGAAGGTATGAGAAATCAGTTAGCGTGAAAGATAGAATTGCCATGTTTTCCGAAATGGAAGCTAACCAAAGTACGGATAAGAAAGACTTGCACCGGTACGGGAGTGAAACGAATATCAAAACTGTGGAAAGTAAAAGAATGAATTTGCCCGTTGATATTCCGAAGCACGATTCTTTATCTAGGGACTCTAAATGGCACAGTATGCAAAGCATTACAAAACAAACTTCCGAAAAAGAGACTTCCTGTAAACATTCGCCAATGAAACCAGCCGTGAGCATACCCTCATTAACACCAGATCCTGTAATTGATGATCCTGTAATTGATAATCTTTCCTATAATAGCTATGCTACTCTTCCCGTGAAGTTAGACGTTGAGATCCCTAAACCAATAATATCCACTTATCCCGAAACGCAACTAACAAATAACAAGAGGTATAATTACGGACTATATAGTTTAAAAAATCTAAAAAACACTGAAGACCTTTTAAGTAAAAAATCATCTGGTTCCAATTTATTATCCCTTATTGATAGTCGCAAGCAACCGTTGGGAAAATTGAAAGGATTAGTTATTCCCGAAAAACCTTTCCAACCAAACACTGGAAAAGATTTACCAACTATCGTTAGTAGTGATTCTGAAGTTCGAAAGGATACTAGACGAGCTTCGCTTCCAATCACAGTGGTCACAGGTAGTAATTCTTCCATGTCTTTACCCAGAAATCAAAAATTAGAACGGCCTCCTACTCAGAAACAAACTTCACTTGTAGAACCTCCTTGGAAGAATGAGTCCAAAATAACTACCAATACTCTTCCAAAGTATTCACCGGCTTTTAAGAAAAGGACTTTAGAATTACCAGGTTCTTCGTTGTCACCCACGCCGCCATCTTCTATAACCAGTCCTTTGTCTCCCCCTCCATCTTCCCCGTCTAGTATTTGTAGTTCCAATGCCAGTTCTACTTTGCAACAAAATGTCTTCCAATTTTCTCTGTCGCACAGTAAGCCTGTTCAGCCTTTGCAACCCGAAAAAGCCCTCATGTCACCTCCATCCTTGCCTTCAGATGTGGAATATGAGGGTGATAATTCCGAAGATTCTTCGCACTCAGCTTCTCCTATGAGGAATGGCACCCATAACTCTAAAGACGCAAAGGTATTAAAAGTAATAACTTTTTTTCTGATTCAATTATAGATCTAGGACAGAGATGATTTTTTATTCGTGTGTCAGTCAAATTAAAATTTAATATCTAATGTGCTACTTGCTAATTTTATTTTTTTTAAATATAATCTTTAAAACATTATACGTTGGTATCAAACTATAAAATCACATTGTGTGATCATAATTGCTGTTCAGTAATCAAATGGAAATTGAATAGACAGTATTTTAATTGCAATTTAATATTGAGCTAAGATAAAGTATCCTAAAACGAGTAGGTAATGAAATGGAATTGGGGAAGTCAGTGCTAGATATTTATTTTTTATACACCTTCAGCAACATTGGACTTTCAAAGTGGAGCGTGTACTATATTCAGTCTTCAAATATCATGCCACTCAAAATTGTTCTCTTTTTTAAATCAGTCTAGGATGGCTGCTGGTATGGTTATCTTTTTTTCATGTTTTCAAATTAAGTTAATGAATTCAATTTGTAATTTTCGCGTGCCACCGAAATACCAGTCCAGTGCCACCTAGTGACATAAGTTCGTCATCTCTGATCAAGGATCTAATGTTATATTCTTAATTTAAAAATTAAGACCCAAGAATTTTCGGTGTTCGGATTTTTTTTCCCTTTAAAATATCGATACTTGGGAAAATGAAAACCTAATCTTGAATACTGATTAATTTACTGTATTTATATTCCAGAGTTCCAATCATTCCTTTGGAAATAATTCGTGCCAATATGGAGAATCAAACGCATTTACAAGTACTACCAGAACCGTGTCTCACCAACCTTTAATGGTTGAAACTCTCACCAAGTCATCAAGAACGACAGAACATCCCAGGGCAGCTGTTTGCATTTCTAAGACTGAAATACATTTAAAAAGTCAAAAATCTGTCGATGCTACTATCCAACCAGAATCCATCTCTAAAACTGTAGTTTCAACTTTCAACCACGATTCTCAAAGTTTCACTGCAACTAAGAAAATGGAAGCTACAAGCATCAACAATAAAAATGGCACTACGACGAGCTACTTCACGAGTCATTCAGTTGATAGTTATAATAACTTACAAAATCGAAATGGCAGTCCTGAACAACTTTCGAAATATTCCGAAGAAGTCCCTGTTGGCAAATTCCGCGCTTTACCCCTCAACTTCCAGGAATCTCAAGTGAAGGATTCATTCATCACTAAAAGTTCTAAACATAAGTTAGAAAATGTCCGACCTCCGCCTTCTGAGTGTGACGACAGTGAGGATGATGATTCACACTCAACTCTGAGTCATCGAACCGAAGATTCTCGCCACACCACAACCGATGATTGTTTATCCGATGCTACTACCGATTCTTTTGAAAAACCGCGTCTTATGCATCCCGATGATAACAGAAATGTCGTTGATGATAATGCGTCTACAGAAGGATATCTGTCTGATGCTTCCACCACAGACGTCTCATTGCGACGGTTTGCTCATCGGCCCATCGACTATTCTGCAGAAGAATATTTTTCCGATGCCACTGCCGAATCTCCAGATCCTGAATGGATGTCCAGTAGAGGTCATCACAATGGAGATTTACGTTTCAGGTATTCTATTTTAGTGTATGTATGTTACTGTGAATGACTGAAATTTGTGGTAGTTGACTTCCACCGGTGAATGTTGACAATCACATAGTCGCTTTGGTAAATGTCCGAAATATAAACTAGGTCTAGTTAAGTGTCACTGTCCGGTATACATTTAACCAGTATTCCGAACACTTTCTCCTAATCTATATTCAGCAGATATTGTGATTGCTGACTATCACCGGTGAAAGTCGACATTCTCTTGATTTTAGTCATTCACGGTAGCATGTTCATTCTATTATTTAAATCTTTTGTATCACTAATTAAGATATTATTCCATGTCTAGTCTTAGAAATGCTGAATAATGCATAGCGTTCTCATCTAGCGATGGTCACAAAAATTTTGGCACCATGTCACGTCTTTAGGTTATTTTAGAGACGTTAGATTTATATTTTGAGTATTTCTAGGCATTTTTTTTTAAGATCTACTTTAGAATTTTATTTTATAACCTTCGTTGAACAGTCGGCCCATTTTTTTTCGGTTTACGACTACTAATGTTCAACTCCGTAGTCTTGTAATTTTGAACCGGATCCAAAAGACAAGGAAACTCCTGAATCAAGTATAAGGACAAATTTGCCTTCGTGGAGAACTTTTTGATGGAACTAACCCTCATTTGCGTTACATGAAGAGAAAAACCACTGTAACTTTCCCACGGTTAGACTGAAGGCAAGGGGACTCTAACCCATGATCCATTTACCACTGAGGATGTTTTACTTCAGCAGGTGCAAACCGGATGCGGAATTCGTATCGACCAGCCATCGTTGAGATTCGAACCCGGTTCATCTCATTGGCTCACCTCAGTTTTTATTTGTTTTTGTTAAATGCAGCTCTCTGTCTCTTTTTTTGTTTAATGTAGCTATCACGGCTCCTATTGTAATAAAATCACTGTATTGTAATGAAATTAAATCGTTAAAATAGGAACTAAAAGTTAATTTTATTTCAGAAGTCATATGATGCGAAATGACACGAATAGGCAACCCAAAGATAATGACGATTCTGAAATTGCGGATCCAGATTTACGACCCAAGAGGTTAAGCCAACAGAGAACAGTTTTGAAAGCATCGATGGAGCCTACGGACAGTGTCCAAAAGTTTAAAGCTCTTGCTGAAAAGTGGGAGCAGCGAACAGATGTCACATCTCCGCCACCACCGCCACCTCCAGTAATCTCTACGAATGGAATGAAAAAGGATTCTAGATCCAATTCCATTGCAGCAGTCATTTTATCTAACAACTCCAGTACAGTTATAAAAGGGTGAGAATGAAAATATTTTCTTTTATCCACAGTAGTTTTTAAAATTCGAGTTTTAAACTATTGAAACAGACACAGATGTCGAAGGGAGATTTTAAAACATTCAACCATTCAGATACGGCTAAGCTGCTCAAATTTCAGAACGAAAAAACATTTTTTTAGCCAAAATCAGAAATATTTGGGTCTTCTTATAATTAGGTCAATTCATTTTTTTTAAAAAAAGAAAACAGGCTTTACGTTTTTAAATTTGAAATCCATAATTAGTTTAGTATTTATGTCTTCAAAATATTTTTTAAAATTTTCGTTTTTACCCTAAAAATAAATTTTTAGTTTCATTTTAAAAACTCTATAGCTTATTTAATTTGACTAAAAAGACTTTTAAGCGTTTACTCATTTGACAACTTTTTACCGACTTGAATTTTTGAATTTAAAAAAATAGTCTTTCATGATATATATAGCAGTGTTTCCCAAACTTATGACTTTTGTGTACCCTTTCTAAGCTTTCGTAACTCTGTGTACCACTAATAAAGAAATTCATGTATTTTGTACTGTAAAAAAATTGCACAGAAGTTAAAATCACAACTAGCTGTTGATTCCACTAATTATTAACTGTTAACTCTGCAAAAAATAGACAATAGAAAGATACGTAATCGTAAATTTTCAGGGCTAGCTTTGTTTTTTGAAATTTTTTTGAAATTTTCGTTTGTTGCAAGATATTTCACATTAAAACGAAACCCCCGCTAAACTGTTCCCGTACCCCTGGGAGTACGCGTACCACACTTTGGAAAACACTGCCCTATAGTAAAATAAGTAAGACAACTTCGTGCATAATATCAAAAGGAAAGGAGAAAATAAAGAAAAAAATAAAATTCCAAACTTAACCACATGCAACTAACTTGAATGGGTAAAAAAACTATCATCTGTTCCATCTAGAATATTTTTTTTTATCAACTGTATTAAAGATAGAGGTTGATGGAACTGTTGTTAGCGGTAAGCCAAGCGCATTGCTAACTTATCGTGTGAGGTAATATTTGAGAACACCATCTCGACTTCACCATCTCCATCAGACCAAATCCGCGATGACTGTAATGACCAAGTTTAATGTAGCCCACTTCCTTCATTACAACAGCCCCCCCTTTGCATGCCTAACTCTATTACCAAGAAACTTCGCAGAACTATCGTTTCTGTTGAGAAATTAGGGCTAGCATAGGAACTTTGTGATGACATATCGTCTTGACCAACGAAGCATGTGTTTCTTTGTTTGACTCTTAATGTATGTTTAGCTTAATAGAGAGATTAGTAATTCACTTTATCAAGTCGTGCTTGGCGTTATCAGGTAATAAGAACCAACCTTTGTTTTGAATCGTTAGTTCAATTCAATACATCGAAACCAGGATTTCTTCGAACATAATAGAATTATTAAGTTAATTCGACAAGAGGTAGTAATGAAATTTATCAAAAAAAATAGAGTGCTCTGTCCCCCCAGCCTATGTTAAAATGGCCATTTCTGGCGTAGAAAATACTGACTTGTTCTTTAAGTACTTTCTTTTACTTTTTCCCCTTTTGTTAATTGTGCATTTTAAAGCAAATTGGAAATGATAAACTAAAAATCTCTCGTTGAAATTTACACCATTACAATCTTAATAAAAAAAAGCTATTTTTGAGAACTTATTGACTTTTTTTGAAAAAAGGTACATTAAACTTGTTTATTTTAACAAGGGCTGAGATAGAGTATCTGAATTCCTTTAATTTAAGTCCAAGGAGGGTTATAAGCATTTTATCAGTATTTGTGAGTGTTGTAATTATGTCTTTTGTATGTAAGTAAACTCTTCCCTGCTAGCAAGAAGTGAAAGTACATGTTATGTGAAATTTAGAAAACACATAAAAGTTCAATAAAGATTAAGCAATATATAGAAACATACAATGGCTATTACAAAACATTTTTTAGTAAATTGAAATTTCTTGTTTAAGTATTAGATAGAAAAATTTTGCGTTAAATGACCATAGCATACTTTTTAAAAATCTGAAGTAGGTTTCCAGACTGTTAGTTAACAAGCTCTTGCACTATGCTAAATGAACTTTTTGTTTAATATGAAGTAGAAGGAAAAATAATTTTATGAGCAAAAGAACAAGAAAAAAAATTAAAAATCATGGCCTATGGATAGGTAAATCCACTATCTGAAATTAAGTGTAGCTTCAACGCTTAATTAAATGATTTATTTTTTGAATTCTAAATAAATATTGCATTATGTTTCTGCAAAATTTTGTTTTGAAGTTTGGAGCACAACCTTGATTTCGGACAAACTAATTAGTGCATTACAATATATAGACAGCACAAAGAATGAAATCATTTTAAAATGAAGCACTACAGAAGAAAGTGAAGGTTTTCAGTATTATAAATTTTCAAACTTTTTGGGTTATTAAAGTTTATTATAATACTGAGATTAATTTTATACTACATTGTTTTGTATTAAAATATCAACATCTGAAAGAAACCGAGTTTATTTAGTCGGAAAACGTGCTAAATAGCGAAATGTTTCTGTGCGTCCATTGACTGAATTAATGATCAATATTTATATATCCATTGTCAGAATTGATTACGTTTTGACGCATTTGTTTATAATTCTTATGCAATTCCACAAGTGCTGCATAAATTCTCTAAAGTTCTTTTCAAAGAGAACTTATTCTGAAAGTTTTATTTAGAAAAAGCAATCTTCCACCCTCTTTGATGCCAAGGAATTCCTCGGACAAGATGATGTCGAGAACTACTTCCAGAGATTCCTCCCACTCAATCAACCGTCCCAAAGAAAATGACGATGTTCTTCTGGGAAAAAAGTCTTTGTTGCATTCCACTAGTATTTCTCCAGAATCCTCGACAAATAGTTGGAATCATCACTATAATGAGGTAAGAACTGTAATCATTGCTCGTCAAGTCCGATTTTTGTGCCCAAAGAGCTACTCTCTCCATTGTCAACATATTGACCATATTGTCAACATATTAATCTGTGCCTTTAAAATTATCTAAACATTCGAATGTCTTAGAAGCCAGTATAGCGATCAGCCAATTTTTTCCAAAGGTGATATTTTTATGCCTAACATTTTCTTATGATTGTTTGCTTGATTGCTTTACAAGTTTAAAGATTTTCTACTAGCGTAAAAAATGTATTGTTTTTCTCGCAACATTGCTCTCTTCACTCCGGTTGTGGATTGAGTTATCTCCATCGACGATCATAAAAATAAGTGAAAAAATCATATTCTTGGTATAGTAGCAATGAATATAACTGCTGGTTAAAAGTTGTTTTAATTTCTGAACTTAATATTTTGCCATTTTTGACAAAAAAATTATCTAAATGCTTAAATTTTTTATTGCACTTCGAGCAACCATATTTACATATACAGCAAACTTCCAGAAAGGACCACCTTTGTGTAGTGACCACCACGATTATTTATATTTCTCGGCTCATTATTTTCTAAACAATAACGAGAACTTGATGTTGTAAGTTCGTCAATTACAGCAAGTTTCACTGTATATATTTTTTTAATTATTTTTATTTCTCGGCTCATTATTTTCTAAATTTTAACGAGAACTTGATGTTGTAAGTTCGTCAATTATCTTAACATATATTAGAGTTTTTTTAATAACAACTTCTTTTTTACTTTTCATAGGCTCAACATCTTGAAACTTCACTGGGAGGAGAGAGTCTGAGTAGTAATTCCAGCAAAATTACTTTGAAAGAGTCTCGTGAAATCGTGGATTCAAAAACAATAGATCCACCAGTCCTCCTCACCAATGGAACCAGCATCAAAACTAATAGGTATTGCATTTTTATTGAACTTTCTCAGTTTTGTCTCCTGTGGAAACTTTAAATATAAATGAAACATTCAGTGTGTTCCGTAATGACCACCCTTAATGTAAATTTTTGAAATATGATCAAAAAAGTATACAGAGACGAGTTCGTAAAAATCGAAACCTCTGCCAAAATCTAACGAACAATGAGGTGTACACTTGTTTGTCTGAGAGTGCAGGGAGGTGTTAAAAGGTGCCTATTAAAAATATTTTTAAATTAAACCAGGCTCTTAAACTAGGTTTGATAATTTTTCTTGCCACCTTTCCTAGTAGGAATTTCTTGGATTTTCGATAGTATTCATGCTTTTTCCTGGTTTGAATATTAATTTACGATTTCCAAATTTTATATGTGTTTTTTATTAGGATTCTAAAAATGTATACTAAAAGCAATCATAAAGGAACATTCTGTATTTTTGAAATGCATATAAATATAATGTTCACCCATCTTTGATGTCGAAAAAATATTTTGATAATAGTCTTACCGCTATTATTGGCATCAAAACGAAATAATTTCTCGGTGTCTGGCTTTGTATTAAAGACACTATCTTCTGCTTGAGTCTTTTTCGAATATTTTCCAAAAACTTGTTTTCTCCAAAATCGTTTAGTGAATTTTAAACGATCATCCTTATGTAGAACATAGGGAGTACCTTCACGTTAATAAAGTTTCCACAACGCCTAACAGTCACCTTTTATGTGTGTGTGTTTTATTTCATCAGTGTGAATATCATCTACATTCAAACAATTAAATTATCTATTTAAAAAATAAATTAGATAGAATATTAGCATCATTTTAAGGAATTGAACAATTCTGTCTTCAGACGTGTCCTGTTCATACTTAAATAAATTATTTTTTTTAAAATAATTACAAACTTCTTTACGTTTAACTTTTGAAATGCCTTACATTTCAAAAATTGAGTCACAAAATGGCGCCATAATTATATAGATTCTAAGTTTAACTTTCATCCAAACATTCTTTCTATGGCTTCTAGTCTGCTCGCATTATCAGTTCAAAGGACTTCTCTTTTATTTAAAAAGAAAAAAGAAGCTTCAGTTTTATGGCTTTCTTGTTCCACAATGATGAGCTGTCTGGTTTTTATAAATATCTGCCGGACCATGGATTATCAAGCATTTCTTTAACACCATAAATTGTTTGTTTAGCATGAAAATATGCCTGGAGTAGGAATTTTATTTATTCCTATAAAAGTACTTTTATGATATATTTTTGTTTACAAAAACAAGTGAAATGTTCGTATTTTTAAGTTGCTTTGGATATAGTTTTGTTGTTCAAATTTTCTTTTTATTTAAAGGTAATTTTATGATTTTTTTTAACAGTTTATTTCTGTTTACTTAGTTGAATGTATCATTTTAATTTAATTCTTTTTTTTTTAACTTCATCTCTATATTAGTTCTAAAACGATATTTTACTAATTACAAACAAATAAGATAACGTAGAAGTATATTATAAGCTACCAAATCGTGAAATATATTTCACAAAACTGATATAAACGACAAATTTTTGAACATATCACTTATGTAAATTGTTCCATAGTTTTTTTTAAAGGTGAAGAATCAGATATTTTTTTCCATAATATATTTTTTCATAATTTTCTGCCACTTCTATTTTTCATTGAATTTTCAGTTAATGAGGAATACACGAGTTAATGAAAGACTTTTGTAATGAACCTCATTTTTAAAATTATTTAAATCTTATTGAATATCGTAAGTTTTCAATTGGAAAACTTATCCTTTGTGATAAACATTGTTAGTTGCCATGCAAGTGGTTGAGTAGTAAGTTTGGGCAAGTTCAAGTTTTTTTTTTTTTTTTTAACCACAACTACAGATTTTAATCTACTTACGCATATATTATACTTATGCATATATTATACGTATGCAGATTTTAATCTACTTATGCACATATTATACTTATGCAGATTTTAATCTACTTATGCATTATTACCGTCAAATGCAGTTTCTGGAAATGTTTGATTTCATTTCTTCGAGTACTTCGTATCATAATATTACTTTGAGTTTATTATTTTGAGTGCTAACTAATTTCGCCATTCGATTCAATCAAAGACTACAAATACAATCAGGAAAATTTTCTAGACAAAAAGTTTTTTCAACTAACGTTGTTTATTTCTAGGCAAATTAGGATAAACATATATTTTTTTTAATGAGTGTTTTATACATTAAAAATAAATACATGTTTAACCTATTTAATGAAGGCCAGCTCTAAGTTTTGTGACATCTACCAAGTTTCTTACAAGTGTATACAATCTTCACATAAATTCGGAAAATAAGAAGAAAAAAAATATTTTTTACACGTAAATTATTTACTATTGAAAATCCTATTTTGTTAACTGATTCTTTCTTTAAAACGTATGAAAGTTTCCTAAAAAGGGAATTAAGTCTTATAAACCGTGTAAAGAGAGAAAATATTTTCAACAAAAAAAANAAAAAAAAAAAAAAAAAAAATGGCACAGATTAGAAATGTTAGAATTATGAAATCATTTACGTATGTCACTTACGTATGCTGCTTATGTATAAAAAGAAATTCAAACATATATTCAGGATGAAAATTTTGGCCAAGTTCTGGAGGAATCTAACGTAACAATGTTTTTTGCTATTATGTGAAATTTCACTAAAATATTGAACCCAAGCTATAATTTTTATGCCCCATGAAGACTGATGAGCTTACAAGATTGGTAGATCTTAAAAAGTAAACTACTTCATTAAAAAAAAAAATTTCTTGTTCAGAGTGCTTTTTTTTTTAATTTCCCATTTTGTTGCTTGTTTCCAACACAAAAATCTCCCAAAACTTTATTTTGATGTGTCGACTATTATATATGTTGTATGTTCAAAGTAGGTTTATATTCCAGAGTGCATTGCGAAGTGATTCTACTCATGTTAGCTTAATGAATATATCATGATTTTTAATTGAAAAATTATTATTGCGATATAATTTCTTTAAAAAAAGAGGGAATGTGTGGTTGCTTATAGCATACTTTGTTACAGCTTCGTGGAAAGAAAATCCGATGATTTATGGAATAATGAACCCAGAAACCGAAGAGGTGCCGACTTTACCCGAGCGGACTGGACATCAAGGCCTTCAGTGACAGCGAAGACCAGTGTCAGCGACATTCGGCGAAGTTTCGAGAATGGAACGAAGGAACCTGAGAAAGTACCCTCTTCCAAAAAGCCGCCACTTCCTGGTGAGTACCTTATCGATATTCAGCGAGTGTCTGTCTGTTCTCGTTAATATTCATCGTATCTAATGAGATCTGTTCTTTTCATTAATATCACTCTGTTTGAACTAAGCATCAAACTTAAATCAGTGCTACTTTGGGTTACCATCTGTAAATTTAGATTTAAAAACTTATTTTAAATGTTCCCTTTATTTGTGTCAGATTAACGTGAAATGTTCTCAGATTTTTATTAAAATATATATCAGGGATCTGTCCAGACATTTTGTGAAAGGTCCTGTTTTTGTAAAGTTGTGAAAAATAACTCGTAATTTGTGAATATAAAATAAACCTTAAGTCACATTCTTTCAACCAGGGTCCTGCTTCCATGAATTTGTGTAAATAGGGTCCGGTTATCGAAAAAAACTTTTTCAAGGAGTTTTTAAATTGTAAATAGATACAAGATTATGCTAAACACTGTAATAATTATGATTAAAAAAAATTAAATTTTCAAAAATAAACAGCAATTGCTGCCTTCTAAATTAGAGTTGCAACAGACAAATACATATTTGGTATTTAGCCTATACTGCTGAACGCAGATTATTCATTTCGGACGAATTATAGAACAAGCGTCTGCCAAAGACAAAACTTAATTCGTTTACATCCATCCTTCTTTTTTTTCCCCCTGGGAAGGGTTTATTCGATTAACAAAACAATAATGAAGATAAATAAATTTGTGAAGGGTTCGTTTTTAGGAAAAGAAATTTTGTGAAGGGTCCGTTAACGGACCCAAATTTCTTCTAAACAGACCCCTGTATACAAATGATAACGTTTAACCTTTTCAATCAATGAAGATGTTAAAGGCTTTACGTAATATTTAAACTTAGTTAAACTGGCAGAAATTAGAATTCTATTGGACGGATGTTTAGTTATTAAGCGTTAAGTCTAATTTGAACCCGAGAATTATAATAAACATAACAAATTTATTCATTAGAAACGATAATAAAAAATAATTTTTTACGATTGATATTAGCAATGTTCTGATCTGAACAAATTATGACGAATAATTGAATTTTTATATACAGTATTTTAAGCTTTGATGTTTAAGATGGTTGACTGGCTAATTGTATTATCCAGATTACCGTTCCGCTTTTTGGGCAATTTTTCGTAAGGTCGAGACGGAAATATAAAAGAATAACAAACTTTTTATCAAATACGAATATAAAATTCTTAATATTGTAATAGAATGTATTACAAGTTTTCATTTAATTAGATTTAATACGAGTTCAACTGATGGCTGAAATAATATTCTTTTAAAACTACCGAGCTTGTTTTTCGAGCCTTGTTTAGAAGTCGAACATTTTCCTGTTCGCTTAAATTAACTCAACATAAATCTTATTGATTTTCCGTTACGTATGCTTTCCGAAATTATGCAAATTTTTTTCATGATCTGTTTTCACTATTTCAATCATCTCTTTTCATTTAACATAAGCAATTCCAACCTTGGCAAAAAAATTTTGCTAAAAAATTCCACGCCCACATCGATGTATTTCAAAGAAGCGATGTAACACAACACACATTATCATTTAAAAAAAAAAACATTTAATATACAAATTGATATCCTTTATCAATCTACAGACATCGAGGCGCCGATTCCCAATTGCTCAAGATAATCAAAAGCAAGTCGGTAACGATCAGCTCATCCATCAATATCTGATGTGTAGACATCTCAACTCATCAGTTTTGTTCATATATACGACCTCACAAAACAGAGGCGGCCTTTCTTTGTGATAAACTTTCTTTTTTTAAAAAAAGTAAATAGGCATGATATTGATGTGCTGATTATTCCGCAGCGTCAAAACATAGTTGGAATATTCTTTGATGAACGAGTGTTTAATGATATGAAAAGTGTTGCCAGAATAAAAGCTTTTTATCTGTTGAATTTTCTTTTCATCTTAAGGGGAATTTCGTCTCCTTCTCACCTCCCGTTGTTTATGACATTCTCTGAAAGAATGGAATGAATTCCTTCCTTATCAAAAGGGTTCTTTCATTCTTGAATGAGTCACCCAAACGTATCAGTTATATTTTTCTACTATTTAAAGGCGTCTTTCTGTGTGAAAGAGTTTTGAGAAATAAGTGATTAGGATTATCCAATCAGTAAATAAAGATTAAATTTCGCAAAGATGGAGAAATTTAATTTTGCAACGGATTGATGATAATTAGGAAATAATTTTTTGAGCTGTCCTTATCCATTCATTGAAAGAGTTCCATCAATTAACGTAACAATTAGTCAGTGAAATTTTTGTTTTTGACTAAAATAATGATTGAATATAGGAGAATCGGCTAATAGATTAATATTAATATTAATTAGCCACAAACTTCTAAGCTATTTATTATTTGATTTAGCTAACAGGGGTCTGTTTAGAAGAAATTTGGGTCCGTTAACGGACCTTTCACAAAATATATTTACATAAAAACGGACCCTTCACGAAATATTTCAACTTAAAAACGAACCCTTCACAAAATGATTTTTCTTTTAATCGGACGATTCACAAATTTGTTTATCTTCATTATTTCTTTGTTAATTGAATAAGCCCTTCCCAGGGCAGAAAGCAAGATAGATGGATGTAAACGAATTAAGTGTTGTCTTCGGCAGACTATTCTTCCATTATTCGTCCGAAATGAATATTCTGCGTTCAGCAGTATAGGCTAAATACCAAATATTTTTATGTTGCATCTCTAATTTAGAAGCAGTAATTGCTGTTTATTTTTGAAAATTTAAATTTTTTTTATTATAATTTTACAGTTCTGAGCATAATCTTGTATCTGATTACAATTTAAAAACTCCTTGAAAAAGTTTTTTGCAATAACCGGACCCTATTTGCACAAGTTCATAAAATCAGGACCCTGGTTGAAAGAATGTGAGTAATTTTTTAACAATTTCAAAAAACCGGACCTTTCACAAAATGTCTGGACAGACCCCTGGCTAAATTAAGTGGTTCTAATAAATGTACTAAAATGTTTGCTAAGACAAAGGCGGAGGAATGTCTCTAATCATATTTTCGAAAAATTGTAATGTCATATAAAATTCTTATTCATATACCGTGGAAGTTTAATTTAATCGATGCTTTTCAGATGACCAAATGAATGGGTCAGTTCCGCGACACCGAACTTCTGGAGCTCACTCCAAGATGGTCTAACGATCCCATTTTCCTTCTCTTCTTGTTATAAATGAACGTTTTTGTGTCGAAAGCTTAGAAAACTAACTTTTCATTTGAATACAAAATATTTTCCTACCCTGCACCTATACTATTTTATTTATCACTTTTTCGTCAAACTAAAACTTCATACGAGATATACATTTAGAAACTGCGAATTCTAATGGGTGCACTTTTTAGTAAAACGATCAAATCACATTTAGTAGGAATACTCGTGAATTGTATTTATTATTTTTTTAAGATGTTACCTTTTTTATGGTGGGTCAATTTTCTGATGGAAATATTTAAAAAGAAATTGTTATTAAATAAGTGATGTAAAAATCACGTAAAAATTACGAATTGAATCTATCAAAAGAAATCAAGTATTAAATGTTTAACAGCCGTTAAACGATAAACTTCTCAAAAGTGGAAGAAATTTGGAGCTGCTTCAAAATCTAAGTGTCGCGAAACTGACCCAATGTTTATAAATTAGAAAGAAAAAAAAAACTTGGCTCAATGATTGATTTTCCTTTAGAAACTGTTCTCTCACTTGTCATAGCTTTTTTTTCTTCCAAAGTTCTCATCACGTTTCTCTTAGCAGCTCGAGCTCCAACGTCTCCACCACCTGTTCCCTTGCCACGTCAGCAATCCCCAAGAGAAAGTGAAGAAGATGATGAAGAAATCAAGAAATTATTGGATGAGGCTCGTATGCAATTGCAGCAAGAGGGTCTGTCTGGTCACCTGTCTGTTCATCACGTTCTGTTGAGAAGAGAAGGTCTGGATGGAGGCAGTGTTGGCATCACATTGGCTGGGGGAGCTGATTACGAAGTGAAGGAAATTACTGTAAGTAGTTTCGCTTCTATACATTGCATTATGCTTGCAATTAAAATTTTCGAGTAAGAATACCGATTAAAATACTGTTTATAATTTGATTTTTGCAACCTGACCAATTCATGAATCATGGAAATATGGTAATCTCAAAATTAAAAAATCTCAGAGAAAAGAAAAACGAGAAATCTGTGAGTTTGATACTGACAGCCAAACTTGCATCAAGGTGGCTGGAATGTCTTCTCGTGACAATGGTGTGGAAGTTTGATCAGGCACTGCTCTCGTCATTTGATCGAGGTTAAAATTACGCATTCCTATCACAGCTTTTAAAAAATATATTCATGGTGCTTAGCCTTTGTAAAATTGTGTGTGTTGAATAAAAATATAGGCTAAATAATGAGCGAAAAGATCAATGGTAAAGTGTGTAATTCTTACAAATCTAACTTGAGGATCCGTACGTTAAAAAAAAATTCGATTTCTGATCAATTCAGCAAAATACCAAAAATTCAGCAATTTACCAAAAAGCAGTTACTGAATGGATTAAACGCCGCTACCATATTTATTTATGTTTTTCAAACACCATTAAAACATGTCTCTGCAAATATAGATAACAGTTCTTTTAATTTACAGGTACACAAAGTAATTTCTGGTAGCTTAGCTGACCGAAATGGGCTTGTACTCAAAGGTGACCGAGTTATGTCCATAAATGGAAGAAATTTACGTGGTGTTAGCCACGGTGAAGCACTGCACATTCTCAAGGCTCCGAACCCCAAGGTCCTTCTCGTGCTTGCGAGGAATTCGGATTGTTTGTCAAACGGAACGGATCATGCGAAACAAGATGCCATAGTCACAAATAAAGGTATTTTATCCTAAATTTTTACCATTTTTCCTTTCCACAAAGTTTATTTAACGATTCTTATTTAAATCTAAGTTATGAGAAGTTTGAATACAGAATGGTAAAATCCAAATTCTAGAACATTTTGCCAGGGTTGGGGTTTTGGACGTCCTAAACTGGTTTTGGACAGGACACGTGGGTTTTACTGTCTTAAACTGGGTAAAACTGTCCTAAACTGTCTTAAAGTGTCCAAAACCTTGAACTTTGGTAAAAGGTAAAAATTCTATAGGTGTAACCATTGTACACATAAGAATTACATGTATCAATAACTATTTGATATTTTTTATACAATTTACTATAACTTATTAAAAAAAATTAATATAATAGGAAAAGGTTTATAATTTTTGAAGCTCCACAATTCATTGAACAACAAAAGTGAATAACTAATTTTAAATATAAATATGCTTTTAATACTGATAAATAATATTTTTGCATAAGGATAAATATGGCAATATTAAAAAATAATAATTTTTCTTAAAAAAAATACTAAATTTGTTCAAAAATTAACCTTTTATTTTTCACAATATTTTTTTTAAAAAAATTTTATAATTTCTGCATTACAGGATTATAAAAAAGACATCTATTTTTAAAAAAAATTGTTTTTAAATATAAATATATTAGTTTAAATTGAAAATACAAAATAACTGAAAAATGTATTAACAGTTTTGAAGGGCATAACATCAGTTTCAGTTACTGACACTGGTGATGTATCACCACTATGCTAAAAGAATTGAACATGAATGAAATAAAAGTATTCTTGAATAGTACTATAGATAAATAAACCTGTTTATGACGAACCAAGCACTTAGTCCCTAATATTTTAACCTGTATGGCAAGGCCAAACTTCAGTTATGTACTATTGAATGAGAGGACCAATTGAACTTGATTACTGATTAATCTTCCTTTGTTTAAATTGAAGAGTCAAACAATATTAATAAAACATTATACTTTTAAAAACAAATATTCTCTAGTATATTTAATTATCAATATGTTATTAGTTCTATGTTTATTTTACCTCTTAAATATTGTTCAGATAAAATTGTGACATAATTTGAGTAAAAGGGTTTTGGAAAGTTTAAACCAGTTTTAGACAAAGGGGTTTTGGACAGGACGGTTTAAACCGTGGATTAATCCATTCTGTCCTAAACCTTGCCAACCCTGCATTTTGCACTATTGATATTAATTACTGCGAAAACTCGTTTCTTATGTTTTATTTTTCTATTTTACGGGATCTGATTGGAATAAAAACTGAAAAGTTAACTTCTGATTTATTGGTTTAGTTTTATTGATTTTCAAACTTTTCTAGTTAATAAATATATTTAAAGAATTGATTTAATTTACTATGCAGCGTCAAAAATAAAATTAAGCATGCAAAACAATATTTTCTTACAGTTTCATTTTATTTTGATAATAAACCAATTTTAGTATTAAATTTAGCATACTTGTTATATCATATTTTTATCAGTAGCTTGTTATATCATATTTTATCGTATGTAACACGTCACTGTTTAAAACTGTAGTGTCGTAGAATTAAGTTTTTCGAGAAACGAAGTAAATGAATGACCGATATATTGAAGTGTAACTGTTGAAATATGTTTCTTACCTCCTTCCAAAACTGATAAGCACCCTAACATGGCACCTAATGCATAGCCTTTATATTTTTTATATTTGGTGCATATGCACCAAATATAAAAAAATCCGTAGCCAAATTTATTACATTATTAATTTACCCGTATTTAGCACAATTTTCCCATGGATTTATAAATATCTTTAATTTTACATTATTAATATAAGAAACATGTGGTTTCATATACCTTTTAAAATACGAATTCGGCTACGTCATCATCATGCTTGACGAAATTATGAATGTTAATTTTACTCGTAAAAACCACATATAAATGATTCGTAAAAAAGTGTGATAAAACTAATTAGAGCTACAAGCTAACGAATCACTCGTATTACAACATATGTCCCGTGGAATACTTCTTTGTGGGATGCTGGTCGGAGAGAGTTTTACAGTAGACTATCCTTGAAGGTATGTGTAGTGTACCAAATTCAGTTCAGAATTGCGGATGGGGTACATGCACACACATATAAACGTTCTGCTTTATTTAAATAGATGTTTTAAATTCAGGATTTGCATTGGCAATATAATGACTGATTTTTAGGCTAAAATTGCCCTATCCAAACTCCAGGGACAAACAGTTTTGAAGTTATAGGCGGGAGATACACACACAAAATATTTATTTAATTCTTCTGATACCACTTTCTTCCATATCGAAAAGAGATGTTGCAATCGGCATTACAAATCAGAATACCAAGAGAAAATTTATTATAGATTTCATTTTTGTAATCAAAGCTTTACCTTCAAGAGACTGGTAATTTATCCGTACGCGGTATTGAAGATAATCCTTGAATAATTATTAAAGAATCATTGTTAATCTTTATAAAGGACGAAAGATTTAATTAGAAATTTATTTGTAACTCATTTTGTATGTCCTCATATCATAATATATATGTCACACACACAGTCACCTCCACTTAATTAAATAATCGAATAACTTGCTTTACGAATAAAACTTTAATAGAAGTAAATTATTTTACATGAAACCAATGTTAAATTTCCTCGTTTAAACGGTTATTTATGACTGCCACGCCTCGCAAAATCGCATTCAAAGAAATATTTAAAAAAAAAAATTTTTTTAAAGAATGTAATTTCCGTTTTCCACTTAAAGAATGCAATCGCTTCAATAGGACTTTCTATTCGATTCCTGAACCAAACTGGTCAGGGAGTAGTTAAAAAGTTAATCAAATCTTGTTGACAGTTCTTTACTCCCTCATTATTTAAAAAATGTTCAGTTAAATGTCAGAACTGTCCCTAATTACAGATTTCTTCGGTAGGAAATAAATAGTATGTATATGTAATACTTTTTATTAGCATTAGTTTTATTTTTATGTGAAATTAACTGATACAGTACAGAACCCGTTATCCGGAAATCAGAAAACCGGAAAACCAGAACAAAATTCGGTAAATTTTCCCGCCATTTTAAAAAAAAAAAAATTTTTTCCTCGTGAGATTTTTGGATTTTTCTTTCTTTTTTGAAAGATGTTTACCATACCATCATTTTAGAAATAATCATTACTGTATGCATTACTGTAATAATCATTACTCCATGCAATTGTGTAATTTATGAATTGTGTAATTTCATGAAGTTTTGCCCCTTTTTTACTAACCCTTTGCGTAATTTTTGATTTTATTATCTTTCGAAGCTTTTATAAGCATTAATTTAAAATTTGTGTTATTGCAGATCCTGGAACTTTCTCAGTTGCTTTGCAGAAAGATGCAACTGGTGTAGGCTTCAGCATTGAAGGAGGGAAAGATTCACCTCAAGGAGACAGACCTTTGCTGATTAAAAGAGTATTTAAAGGTAATTTACACTAAAGAATTAAAAAAAAAATTATGTTGTACTTTCGACAAAATATAAGCAATTTAATTTTTCTGTCAAAACAATTATTACAATTACTTTTATTAATCTCTGAAATACGTGAAAAGTTATACTGATTTTGAATTAACAAGTGTTTCACTTTAGCCTAAAATAAAAGCAACGAGTGCAAATTCTTATCAGACATGGTATTAAAATAAGAGGCCCAACATTCTAAACTGTGTTAACGTAGTCGAAAGTTTGGAAACGTGCTTTCTAAACGATGTATATTTTTAAAGTGTCTGCATTCTCTTTTGTGTGCATTTTTTTATTAAAAAGAGAAGACTAAAGTATACTATTTCTAACAATTACAACTCAGAATTCTATGATAAATGCAAACTGATCATTTTATGTTATTTCGAAAAGGGAATAAAATATTTAGTTTTCTGATTCTTTTTATTTTCGCATGAAAAAAAAATTAGCTCCTCTTTTACAATTGAAACAAACTTTCGACAATTTTCACTTCTGGCGTAAAATTTTTGTTAAAAAAATTCCAGGACTTCTAAAAGTTCGTGAATTAAGTATATAAAGTATCGAATCATATTTACATATTCAGGGCCAGCGCTAAGGATTTCAAATTATAAGCCAAATATCAAAAGTATTCGCTAAATGAAAATCTAAAGAATTTGTTGTGATTAATTTTTTTTTCTTCATAGAAAACTATTTTACGGTAGCTTATTTCAGGTTTATATTATTATGACCCAATTCTAATTGGTCATGCGGCATATCTAATCGAATAAAAAATACTCATAGTTTGGAAAAATTCATTTTGACCTAATTTTTGACATCTGGATTCATAACTTTAAAATATAATGCTCATAAATCTTCTACTCTGTTTCGTCAAATGTAGTTTTTGATAAGCTGAGGTTTGAAATTCTGATTAAAAAGCATTTTCTAAAAAATATACACGGTTTCCCGTTCTCTGTATGATTTTTTTTGTCCCGCAGTGGACTGATCGTTAAGACACGGTTCCCAGCAGACCACCGAAGTCAAGCATCACTGGCTGCGGTCAGTGTGCGGGTGGGTGACCACTTGGATCAGTCTGCGTAGGGACCGAGGGTGTCCGGTATTGGTCCTCGTTAAACTGTTCTACCGTAAAGTGCTCGACTTCGCGTGCAGGTCGTCGGACTACCGAAGCGGGGGTGCAATCCCCTCTGCGGAGGATCAAAATTGTGATGGCATGTCTTCGGATCATCCTAAGGGATGTTTCCCAGACCGTCGCCAATAGCCCATTGTGCAGCTCTAGTGTTACGTAAATGAACGAATCAAATCAAATCTGTATGATTTTTTTTAAATATCTGTAATAGAATGAAGAAAAAAAACACAATTAAAATCAGTATATATGTGTTAGAAATCTTTGTACAATCATTCGATCACTTTTTTTTCCACCCTAGATATCTAAACTTAAATTAGTGTTAATCTGTAACCAGTCATTCGACTCATAGACTATGAATTAAAAACAAGTATATTTCCTTTATTTATATCAGACAAATTAGCTCAACCTAAAAAAAAAGTATAATATTTCAATTAAAAAACCGAAAAATGGTAAAAATTATCAATCGTCATTGGCGCTCTCATTGACATGTTAAATGTGCTCCTCACATAGCCATATTTTGTAAGTACAAATTTTTAATATTTATTTTGATGGAACCAAACATTCGATTGTTAGACGACGATTAATCTCGAAATGTAACAATTGTACAGCCGTGCTTAATACTTTTGGATAACTCATTTTACTAGTACTGTGAGCTCAATGGAGTTGTGTCACGAATTCACAAAACTGACACGGGTCGCTAGTCTGTTAGACGAATATTTAGTTATCTGGGGTTTAAAAAAATGCGTTGTATTGTTTACCTACAAAGCTACATTTCTTTCTCCTCTAAGAATATCCCACAGATAAATTACTTTAATTTTGAACAGTGTGATAATGTATTTTATATTCAAAAATTTAGCTCTTTGGTTTGATTTAATACGATATATTTTATTCACATGCTTATGATTTGTGTAATAAAAAGGGGTAAATTCTAATAAAAGTACTCTCGAATAAAATATCGAGGACAGAGAGTTTTCTTTCTTAATTTGATTTTTCACCAAATATTTAGTGTAATACACGGAAAATGACATAAGATAAAAAGTTCAAATTAATATTCTTAGGTTTATGAGGCGTAGTGTGAGAAAAAACGAACCCTAAATAACTTTTGATTTAATTATCGAATTTTCACATTCGAGGATTCATTCTTAATGATTCGAGGAAGTGACCTCAAATATACTAGTTTGTTAGTGCAGACGATATTTTAAGCTATGAAATAAGACACGAGAACGGATTTTTTCTGAATAAACATACCTTTTCTTTGGCGGATTTGTATTCCTGATCCTCAAAATATAGGGAGAAGTTCCAATCTGGTAAATACGGCCCGTGGTCCCGATAGTTTTGTCAGGAGAGCTGGCCAAAGTTTGGATTCTTTAATGCTAATTTAACTTCTTCTGCTAATTGAAAATTCATTTTTCCACAGTTAATTCCATTAAAAAAATAATTTTTAACTATTTTTTTTATTTTATTTAACAATAGTTGAAAAGTTTTGAATCGTAAGGTATACAAGTTATTACATCATTTTAAAGAATGTAATTTTATATGGTAAATGAAGAAAAATTGAACGAAATCTGTCGAATTGAGCCTGTGAAATCAAATTTTAAAATTGGAATTCTCAGGATCTATTAAACAGATTTTGTTCGAAATTTGAATTTTGCCGCATCAGATTACATTCCATAAAATGGTGTAAAGATTTGTGTTACCTTGCAATTCAAAAATTTTTCCACTATTTTTAAATTAAATAATAAAAATAATCATTAAAAATTATTTTTTAAATCAAATTATCTTTATATAAGAGGATTATATAATTGTGTTCAAAAACTTTTCAATTTACTTAAAAAGTTCCTAAAGTATGGGCGAAATACTCAAAAAGTAAAATTAACATTAAGGGATCCTAATATCCGAAGGCTCTAACGACCAAACTATTGGAACCAATGTTTTCCAGATTGCAGCAACCCCTCTAGTTTGAGAGTAAGGTATAAAAATCAGTCGAGAAAATAAAATGATGTTTATTCAGAGAATGTACGNTTTTTCGTTTTTTTTTTTTTTTTTTTTTGTCTGATTTCGTAGCTTAAATATGTTAATTAGTTAGTGCTGACGATATTTTGAGGTCACTCCCTCGAATGAACAGGAGTCGAATGATGAAAATCGGATCATTAGATCTGATCATACAGTTTCATTCTTTTTTTCTTCCAAACGCCTGGTAAAACCATTCGTCAATTTCAAACAGTTCGAATTTAAATTTTAAGTAAGTTTTGCGGTGGGTTCATGTTTTTACTATAATTATTAAATGTTTGTTTTCACTCTGATTTTTTTTTTCCTTCTAATCTTCAGGTAGTGTTGCCGATAAAGAAGGTCGATTAGAAGAAGGAGACGAAATTTTAGCAATAAATGAACATCCTGTTAATAACATGACTAGAACGGAGGCATGGAACTTCTTGAAGAAATTACCAGAAGGATATATACACCTCAAGCTGAAGAAAAGTTCATCTTAGAGTTATGTTCTCAAGTTTTCGTGTGAAAAGTAACTTGCTAAAAACAAAAGTTTTTAAATGTTAAAACTTTCGATAGAAAACCGAGAGGGTTTTGAGGCACTACTTCGCAATATATATTTGCAACCTCTGCAATGTTTTATCCGCTTAAGCAGATTCGAATTTAGAAAAAATTCAACTCTTAATTTCGAAATTCAGTTTTATTTCAAAATGGTATTCAGGTTCCGATCATGAAATGCCTGCCTTATAAAATCTTTACAGCGAAGATGGAACGAGTTATCTTGCATAAGGTCATTGGATCCAGCATTTTTAATTTACATGACGAAAAACAATGGAAAGAAGCGACATCTAGTAGAAAATTCTGCGATCAATATAATTAATGGTCTTACATAATTATAGTAGTATCGTCTGCGGTAATGACTTCAATTTTTTTTGCAGACGATTGACCTGTAGCAAGGAAGTAACGAACTTGTCATTCACTTGGCATTGCTTTGATCAGCCTAAAGCAAGAAATTCTCCAGACAGTTCTTTTCCATAATGCTTAAAGAAAAACTGTTTAATACGACATATTTTGTGCCAATTGTGTTGTTTAAAATATTGTACAGTCACTTTTATAAAGAACATTTTCGCGAAACACAGCAGACTGATTTTGCAGTGTTTTTCTTTTTCTTTTTTTCGTGGCGTCTAATGATCTAAATATTTTCTTCTACGTCATGCTGTAATATTTTCTGGTCGGTGATCTATCTTTATATATCCTTCTTGAATACAGTTTTTATCACAAGCAATTTGGTTGAAAATGAACTTATTGTTACCCTTTTTTTCTTCTTTTAAACTAGAATTGTTTGAACTAAAGTGTAAATATGACAGCTAACATCTGTTTTCAGAATATCTAATCAGTTTTAAGATTTATCAATTTAGAGTAACTTATTTATTGAATAATTTTTTATCGAAATTGATCCAAAATGTAAGAATTAAATTTATAACTTATTAGTGACTATAATTTCAACCATTTGTTTGTGATATTTCTTTTAAACATTCATTCTATTTTCAAAATTTTATGAGCAAATAATAGTTAGAATGCACACATATATCCCATCAAAGCCAACAAGAAAAATTGGAAATAAAAATCCTTTCAATCAATGCTTGTAAATATTAAGCACTCATCGGCCTTTTAATCTATAATCGTTAGAGCTGGCTTTTTTTTTGTATATTATAATCTTCTGCTTTGAAATTTGTGTAAGGCATATTCTGCGTTTCAAATACATTTTGCATATAGATATTCTAGTTTTGTGAAAATAAGTCACTAAACTATGAAGTCAAACAATAGCAAAAAAGGATGCTTTATAAAATAAAATAACTTTGCTTCAACTCAAATTTATCTTTCATACCGGTGTTATCAATGGGTTTTGTGCAATGCTTTTGCAATTACAATGTGTGATAGTGATACGGTTTCACCTGTTATTTAGTTATTTTAATTATTACATAGCTCGATTTAAAAGTGATAAATAGCAAAAGATTCAGTGACAACAATACATTTAGTGATGTGAAACCTATTTATAACAGTTTTACATATTATATTTAATGATATCCAACTGTTTCAATCACATTTAAAATAATTTTGTAGTTCAACTATATGAAAATTTCAAAGTTAAACCTAGTATTTAAAAAAAAAGTTTAATTTTTCTCAATAAAATCATTAAAATATTGATATTTAAGTCTGTTTAAGAAAAAATACATTTTTTATGAATTTTACAACACAAAAAAACTCTAGCTTTCAAAGGTTTATATTTGTGTTTCTAGGCTAAAATGGATTATCTTTCCGACAATTTTCAAAATATCTCTTTGTTAAAAAATAAATAAAAAATCATCAGATGTATACACCAGAATATAAAAAGATTAGTGGTTTTAAAATGATAATCTTTCTAGAATGAAGTAAATAATATTTCACTTTGTGAGAATTTTATAAAACGAAATGATTAAATCTTTGTTCTCCAAATTAAAAGTACATAAATCATTGATCGATACAATATGAATTCAAAAATCAGTCTTAAAAATAAATTCGTGTACAATACGTATTGATATTATACTTCTTTCGGTTTCGTGTTTAAAGATATCAAATAATTTTAGGTAGAAGCTAAAAGAAGTTACATTCACTTTTAATTAACATACGAACATACTACTGTCTTGTTACGCAAAACTATTTAAAAGTACCTTAGTTTCAATTCATTATTAATGTCATTGCTGTTTGTAGCTGTTTTAATGAATGATAAAAGATGGTTTGAAATTTTTTGCCCATTTTTATCTCCGAATAAGGATAAAAATAAACACTGGTTCTCTTTGGTGTTATTATTGTAAGGAAGTTCATTGTCGCTATTAATAATGAAGAGAGATTTGCTCATAGAATTCTGTGAATATATTGAGTGTCTAATTAGGGCAAGAAAGGTTTCTGTGATATTTCGGTTATAGAAAATATTTGCTGTATTTTTTAATGTGTGCCTTTGATAGATGCATTTAGTTGCAATTTATTTTAATAAAACTATTTCAGCCCTTCTCACATTTGACTGCAGCTTTTATTATCTTATTACCTTGTCTTGTGATTTTGAAGAAGAAAAAAATATTCAAAACCACACGCGTATATATATAAATATTATATATAGATTATGAAATTATTTTGTATTCTTACTTACAAAAATAAAATATTTTTAATATTTTGCAATTATTGTTGTTTGTCATACTAGTTATTTACACTTGTCACGGTTGTGGAAAGAAAAAGAAAACTAAAAAGTTGACTATGTTTTTCGAAATTCTAAGACTATAAACGAATTTTTTCCTATAATTCTTGATTATAAAATTATTTTTTTAGCTTACTTTTAAATACACTATTTTGCTTAAGAAAATAATTTTGCACGTAAATTAGGTATAGCAAGCATAAAAACTTTCGAGAATTCGAAGGCATTTTTGTATCTTGCTAAAGGTGAACTTTCATAAGAGAATATAACAAATTTTCAAAAATTAAAAGTGCTTCAAAATAAAACGTTCGCAGTTCTGTTAAAAATGTTTGACTCTTTGTTATAATATTTTCCGATTTCTGTTTGTGCTCAGCACATTTCATTTACAACGAATACAATTCCGGATTTGAAAATAATGATTTTTTTATCCGATTTTGAATTCCTAAAAATTATGAGTTTGGATGAAGATTAGGAATTTTTTAAGTTATTCAGGGGAGGGAGCATACCCATCAAGGGGCGGAAATTTCTTTTCATGCATCACTATGCCTAATTAAAGTATTTTAAACCTTTATTAATAATTTACCCCCATTTATATATGTATATTTTTAATTTATGTATTTTTTATTTTATCTATATATGTATATTATACATAATTAATTATGTATATTTTTTAAAATTATGAAATGATTACCCAGAAATCAAAGTCAAGGAGTAGTATTGCGCTATTTAATTAGAAAATTCAAATATATGATTCTTCGACTATTAACCCCTTGCATCCGAAGCGTCATGAAAAGACATTTACAAGCAAACTACGGCAAGTGTCGTTTCGTGACGGTCTTGTTTTTTTGGGGTAGGGAGAGTAGAAAAAGAGATTCTTGGGTGGGGAAAGAAATGGGGGTCAGTTAAGGGGAGGACGAACAAAGAGAAGGGTTGGCAGTTTACCTCAATTACTCAAACTATTATCCTTCCCCTAAGTTTCTTCTGAATGGGTTGCTTTTTGCTTTGAAATTTGGCCTTCAAGAAAAACGCCAATACTATCATTTTANTCGGTCCCTACGCAGACTGATCCAAGTGGTTACCCACCCTCACACTGACCGTAGCCAGTGATGCTTGACTTCGGTGATCTCAAGCATATTCAGAGACATTATCACTTAGGGAGTTGAGCACCTAAAAACTTCATTTTAACGAAGAAAAATAGATTTCGGCTGACTTTTTATTTTACCTAGTGATAAACTATTCAAACTATTTGTGTTTGCATGGTAATCAATCACTATTCTTAGAAAAAAAATTCGCACTTTTTACACTAGTATATATCCCAGAAAGCATACAACCTTAACGGCTACCATCTGTCAGAATTTTCCTCTTATTGTCGAACGAAAGTGTTTGTACTAAAAACCTTTTTTCAATAAGGCAAAAATATTGCAGTTTTTAAACCTTTCATCCTAAAAGGATTACAAATTATTTTTTAAGACTTTTTTTTAAATAAGCACTTAAGTAAAATGGTCACTTAGGTCTATAATGACGGTTTAGCTGACGTCAAACTAACGATAGGATCAAACTGCATTGCTCATTAAAATTTCATGATAAGGTGGATTTTAGCTGAGCATGCAAAACCTTGTGAAAAGAAACCTTATAATTACCTATGTTTAAGAGTATTTTCACCTTGAGACTAGCTTTATTAAAGGATTTTTTTCACGCTTGAAAACCCTGAGTCAACCACGATTTAAGGTTTTTATATAGAAGGTTGTTTTCCAAGGTTTTGGACTAGAGTAATGTGCGTAGAATAGAGCAGATTGGCACAGATCTCGTTTTAAGGTTAGAAGATTTACACGTAAGCTGCATAACCAACCTTTCTAGGCTTACATTAAAAGGTTTTTGCTGAGTGAAAATAAACCATATTTTGCTATTAGGGATTTATTTTAAAAATTATATAATGCAAAATTGTTTTGTTTTTTTTTAAATACAATTTATAAAAAGTAAGATTCTCAAGGGCCCCCTGAGTGCCTTGGGCACTGCCCGGGTGTGCCCATGCGTAAAGACGGTATTGGTTATAGAAAATGATTTTGGTTCCGTTTTTCAATATATTTGATTCCCTTTTGAATAAATTTGTTTCCATTATTTAAAATGACTCATCTGAAATGTTTTCTTTTTTTAAAGAAAAAACTAATTGATCTAAAGAAATTCGTAAGGTGATATCGTTCGCAAGCCTAAATCACTTCGAAATAGTCTTTTTTAAAAAAGATAGTCAACAGCTATTTTTACACAGTTGTCACCGGGGTCCTATATATTCATAATTAAATTTATGTTGTTCGAATTTAGATTTTTAAAAACCACTTTATTGTCGTCGCTATGTTGTCTGAACACGAACAAATAGCCTGGAAAGTTATATCTATAATATACCCGTGGTATAGCCCACCGTAATGATTATGTTGGAATGTACGAAATTCTTCGTTTAGTTGTTACATTTGGGTTGAACATAGAAAAGATGCGGGTTTTTTTTTGTAGTGTCTATTTCCTTAAATATGTCTTCTGAGATGTGTCTATTTTCTAAAACAGTGTTTCCCAAACTTATAACTTTTGCGTACCCTTTCTAAATTTTTCGTAACTCTGCCTACCACTAAATAAAAAATGAATGTATTTTTTACTATAAAAAAAATTGCACAAAAGTTAAAAATCAGAACTGGCTGTTGACACCACTAATTATTAACTGTTAACTCTGCAAAAAATAGCCAATAGAAAAATAAGTAATCGTAAATTTTCATGGCTAGCCTTGTTTTTAAATAAAATTTCTTGAAGCTTTCGCTCGTTGCGAGAAGAACGCGTACCCCCTCTAAACTGTTCCCGTACCCCTGGGGGTACGCGTACCACACTTTGGGAAACACTGTTCTAAAATATGCACTTTTGGCTATCTCCATATACATGACTTAGGAAGTGAAGCCTGGACAAAATTACTCGTTTGTTGCTTATTCTGCTACTTTCCTTTGAAATTTAGTTTCATTTTGGAATTGTTGGTTGAAATTTTCACTTGAGCGGAAGAAATTGGATTTTGCTGCGGATTATAATTTGGAATGAGTCATTAATAAATGGCCGCCTTGGTATCCAGTTTTGATTTTGTTGTCGATACCCACTCAATTTTAGAGCTTTTTGTTTATTTTCATTCTGAGTTAAGACACTGGAGAATCATGAATAATTATAGAAACAATTCAATAGGGACTCTCGGTTTTTTTTCAGAAGCGAAGGCGCTTTAATCTGTGGTGTAATCCCATAAATAAACCATCCATTATAAGCTCATCACGTAAATTTATTTTTCGACCTAGATTTACCTTTTCGGTGAAGTATGAGAAATTCTTTAGCTGAACCAGAAAATTTTAAATTTTGAAACTCATTAAAGACAGTAGGAGGAGAAAAATAATGTTCTTGAAAATTTCGACTATTTTCTCGAAAAAAATGTCAATTTAATCAATTCTTAATAAATAAATCATTTCAAACCTGAAACACAAATAAATTTTAGAAAATTTTAACTTTCCAATAATTTAATTTTAAAATCTCAAGTTTGTTTCTTATAATGTCCAAGCCAGGCTGTAGACTGAACACCCATGTCAGGCTCAAACCTTAGTATGTCCCCTTTTTCTTCCGCTTTATCTTGATTTACATTTTGAAAATTAGTGTTTAATTCAATTCCCAAATTACTTAATCAATTATTACACTACTTGACGTTTCCATATTAGTTGATAATTTCTCATCAGGAGTTATCTCTCCTGTGTCATCCGTTGTTTAATTTATATTTTTTCTACTCCTTAAGGACATCTAAACATTAAAAATAGATTTCATTATTAAATACAAAATTTAGAAGAAAAAATTACTACTTTTTAAATATATTTTAATTTCTAACTTTTTTAACCCAGGGCGCAATATTTAAACAAAAATTTAACAATTACAAATATAGATCATACATACTGTAACAATAAAATCGATAATAAATCCGCTTAAATATTTTCTATATTGATTATAATATACTCTTATTACTGAATGAAGAGATATATAAATTATTTCAAAAATAATTTGAAATAAATAAAATATTCGAAGTTAAGTATTATCGATATTTGATACTAAATAAAACTGTCCTTTTTGTGAATAAGTTCAGTATTAAAAAAATATTATAAATAAAATGATCAAAGATGAAAAAAAAAATCCTTTTAATCAATACATATTAGGGTAGTGTCGGTTACCCCCCGCCCACTGTCAATTTCATATGTATAGAATATTTTTTCAAGTCAATGGGCCATCGGACATTAATTGTTATATTAAAAAAAAGATTATTCTCAAAGTTTCAAGTATTTAGGCAGCTGGTAACATGGTAAACAATAGTTTTGAAAATATGTTGAATATATATTCGATTATGTGAATATATTGTGATAAAAATGATAAATAAGGTTTATCTATTGTCAATACATTGGTCATTTTCATTTACAGCTGAAAAAACAGTAAAAAAACATAATTTTTTTAACTGGGTGTGGGCTACCCGACACATTTTGAAAAGAGCTGAAAAACATGTTCTTTTTTAACTTCTATTTTTTTAAGTTAAACTATTATCTTTTTGGCTTATTCTTTTTGCATTATTTAAATAGATGATAAAACAATAGAAACATACAAAAATATTGATTATTACTCAATATTATACAGAAATATAAGCAATAATCCTTAAGTGGGCGGGGCTACCCGACTCTCCCCTAAGCTATTTAAACACCAATTACTTTCCCATAATTATTTCGAAAATTATTATTAGAGCAAAAGTACAGATCAAAACAAATAAAATCGCCAATGGTC